GCTGAATGTGTCATTCCAGGATCAGGCCCCCCCAGGGGTAAGCCCGTTCATCTACCAGTATTATAAAGCCATTGTGGCATGCCATCATTTTAAGAGAGACCCGGGTAGTAAGGTAGCATCTTCCCTTCGGCCATGGAAATGTCTTGTAGACTTGTGGCAGTCGATCGCAGCCGCTCGAGCAGGTTTAGCCGAAGTAGTGCAGCTACCAGTGCCAGCAAGACAAGCCAAAGTAGTGGTGACGGGAGCGACTCTGAGGATGATGACTTGGATTTCCTAGAGTATGCCGTCCAAAGATGCAAGTGGATGCTTGAGTTCTTGAATTTCAATCGATTTGTCTTATTGATTCTCATTACTAGAATTGCATTTTCAAAATCTTGAGGACATGTGAGGGTGTTCATGGTGTGCTTGTTCAACCGAACACAGGATGGGCCTAGCGCAGTTTGCCGTGATCCCGTTGGTCTTCGCCCTGGCCCAGCTGCGCTGTACCCGACTGGTCATCGCTGCGACCATCTTGCAATTGCTGGGTTCCTTCATCGCACAGATGCACCTCCGCTGGGAAGTGGCAGAGTGGGTTCGCCAACATTTGGATCAGGGTTGGCAGCCCCACATTCAGGCGGTTGACACCTGGAAGACTCTAGGTGCCCTCACAATGCATGAACTCTGGATCTATTTAGTGACCCTTTCAGAGACGCTGGATCCAGCCATGGACGCTTGGACTGCTGCCAATTCCGAAGAGATGTGCACAGCTCCCGTGCGAGAGAAGTTTGCGGCTGCATGGGAGACAACTCCATTGGTGGGTCACACCATTGGATCGATTGGTTTGCCAAGGATTTTGTTGATCTTCTTGTGCTGCACAACGATTTGGCAAGTCTTCTCCTTTCTTCGCAAGGAAGCTCAGGTTATCTCAGGTTCATAGCACCTTGGGTCTCGTCAAGCAGTCTTTCCAGAACACAGATTTGGATGAGGCCGCAACAAGCAGATGGACTGCTTGGATCTACATGAGCCACATGTGTGATGTTGGCAGCTTGATGTTGCTTCATGATGTTTTCCGAGAGCTTGTGCAAGTGGAGATTGATTTGTCCGAGAAGATTTGGCCCGTGCCCGATCGGAATGCTTCATTTCGATGCTTGCTCGTTGAGAGCAGACTTATTGTTTTCCGGCGATTTGTGCTACAAACTAAGCGCTTTTTAGATAAACGAGAGATCCGGAATGTCGCCATGAACCGTTTTCCTTGTGCAATTCGTCTTGTGGTTTTGATCTCACAGGGGTTGCTTCGTGTCCATCATGGTGTTTGTTCTCATGGTCGGGCTGTCGACTGGCTCGGGCTGCGAGGAACCAAGATTGTCGGGGAGGCTTTGCCAGCGCTTTGGCTACAGATTTCTTTGCTGTCCTTGACCTGGGACTCCGCCACGGCCAAAAGCCCTGCGGTGACATTTGTCTCGATGTGCTGTTCCCTGGTAGCAAAAGAGGGATCAGTTGCCCCGTGTTGTCTTTTTCTTTTCCTCGATCAAACTGCTGTCAAGATGCAGTAGCGGCTTTCCGTTCTTCTTAGCACGTCCATCTTTGTAGACATATCGAAGCGTGAGGGGGTGAAAACGTTCTTGCAGCTGGTTTGGAACCATTCAGGTTCTTACATGAACATCATCAAAAAACATATTCTTGGTCTGGCGGTGTCTCAGAACCGACCGCGAGAATCCGTGGTCTGGATATAACGAGTACTACCGTATCCTGCTGTCAATTAGACAGCACCATGCTTTAGACAGCACCTTGTTTTTGCACCAGACATGACCCCTATAGATGCCATAGATCAACATGGGGTCGCACAGACTCAGCCCTTGACCACCAAGCAATGTGCCATCGAGCGAGGCACCGCGACACGATGCGACATGGATGACTAGCAGAACTACCAGATCTTAGTCCATATATACAGCTATAGTTAGTGGTGATGCGTTGTTATATATATATATAGTATTCTTTAAATTTCTTTAATATGTTTAGATTTATAGACAAATGTCTTACTCTTCAAGAACTCAATGCCAACCCTTTGGCTTAGCAATTGCTGTTGACCAGGGTTTGGCCGTCTTGCTGCCTGGCGCCGTGTCAATTTGCCAAAATGTACCGGTTTGCGGCTGCAGGGCAGTCCCTTCAGCCTCGCATGTGGCTTGTATAAGTCACACCTTGGCGCGGTGTGTCTTTAATGTGCTCTGTTTTTCCAACCAGTGCAACACTTGAGAGCGTTGAGGGAGCTTCTCCTGATGTTTCCCGTCCACTGGGCACGTGAGCCAAATATGGGCGTGGGGGTGGGACATGGTAAAATGGTGGCCTCTTCAACCCCGTTTTTTGATATTTATTTTTTGCTTGGGGTACCTTGCTTGCTTGCTGATAAGCGCCAGGGGAGAGACTGCAGCTACTGCAAGCTTGACCGTTTTTGACGCCCATGTTCGCTAGTCAGAGGAATTCACCGGTAATGTGGCCCGAGAAGAACGTGATTTGTACAAGAGGTTGTCATGTTACCACACATTTGATGCTTTGACTGATGTGACTGGGTCAACATCACCCCCCTGTGGTGGGACCTTCAGGCTTGACCCATGGAGGCCCACAAACAGCAAGCCCTGTCACTTTTGAGCTTTTTCAGTGCTAACACGCTTTCGACCCATGCGATAGCCATAGCCTGCCTATCTGAGTTCGCCAAGGTGTACTGGCAACTAACTTCAGCTTTGGCGTCACCATCCTCTTGGTCTGCACCATCCGCCTTGTTGGGGTTTGGTACTGCTCCAGCCACATTCTGAATCTGAGCAGCGGATGCCTGGTCTAAGTGGATAGGTTATGAGCACCGCAACGTCAGTGCAGGGGCTTTTGTTTTCTGGTGTTTTGAAAGGGCCACGATTTGTGCCTTGTTTGGCTGGGCCGTCCAATGACGGTGCCACCACCTTTCCCAACTGTATATATCAACTCCAAGAGTGACTTCAAAACTCAAGTCACTATCTGGGCTCCGATCTTCAACAACTTCGATTGGATAGTCTTCGCCATATATACTTTGGAGAGGCTGATGACCAACCACCAACAGATACATAATTATGGCGAATTTGGCGGAGCAAAACATATGCCAAGAGTTTCGCAACATACTTCTGGCACGTTTCGCATGTTTCCGTGATCCTTCAATTGTGTCCTAATCAACTCCAAGCGACGACGCGCAGAGCCCAGACGATGCGCTAATGCGACGGTCACACCAAAGCACGGGGTGTCCCATGCCGAACAGATGTCGGAGGCGCAGCACGGTGGGTAAGCAGGCAATGCAGGCTGTATCCCGCTGTGTTGGCGCGGGCAACATCACGTCTCAATCCAGATAGATTGCCATACCCTATGGATCCACATACCTTCTCAGAAAGTGTTTGGGTCCTCCAAGCCTACTTAAATAGTCTCCAATCACCTTCGCAGAAGGTATGTGGATCCACAGGAATAGATGTTGGAGCGTGAGGTGCTGTTGCTTTGAGTGGAGGTGCAGGACACCCCCCTTCGTGTGAAGTTATGATACGCTGGCGCACTGGCAGTCAGGCCGTGTGCCGAGGCGGCAAAAAGCGGGCGGTTGGCATCAGAGAAGCAGGCTCTTGGCCCCGGATCAGCCAACCAGCCAATGAAGCACACGTTGAGCAGCGTCAGCAGCCGCAGCCTCGTTTGGAGAACTGACAGGGAAGATAAGGGAAGGTGTTCTACCTTAATTATATAGTGAACTTATGACTTTCCTCCCAACTGCTCAACCGGTCAGTTGCAAGCCGATGCTCCAAATGATCAGACCTCACGACCCACCAGATCTGTTCCACCGGCCCCTCGGCCGAGCCACGCTGGGATCCGACGGCTCCGATGGACGAGCGAAGAGGGGGACGGGATGGGGCGGGGAGGATATGGCTTCAGCGGAGTAGTGAGTTACATGCAGTTAGAGTTTATGTGTTAGAGTTATACGGTTCAAGTTAGTCTGAGTTAGTGTTAAGCCTCCAGTTTTGGAGGAGTCTGACATCCGATTCTCTGTTTGGTGGAGAGTTTGGTGGGTCGTCCACGGGGGTCATAACTTTCAGCAAGGGTTGACGATGTTCGAATGCTTCAGATCTAGAATTGCAGGTCAGAATCCCCAAATCACCTCCCTGAAGTAGACCAGAGGCCCCTCAGAAGAGCTAATCCCACTTTCGGGGTTTGCACCTCGTGCAACATCGCCGCCTCGGCCGATCTACCCAAGAATATCCACTAGCTGTTTCATGGACATATCATCCATCTATTTGACATACATGTTTCCATACAAGCAGTCCTGCATGCTGCGTTCAGGGATCGGAGATCGGTGGAAGAAGCGGATTTCCTCGGTGGTGGTAGGAAGTGCGTGTCCGAATTTTCAAAGGGTTCATGAATGGCAGATGGGTCATGACATGGTCCATGTGGGGTGCGAGTAATCATGTGCGAGTGGATAAGCTGGCAGATTGGACCTGTGTTTTGTAAGAAGGGTTGGGGGGGCATCCTGGTTCTTGTTCAGGATGCAGGGGGCACCGGGTTTGCTAAGTGTCCTCGAGCTGACAGTGCCCAAATACGTCTCCCCAACCAATCTCAACCATACTGGGTCCATATTAGCTCTTAGGGCCAGCTTAATTACGTGTTCACACGGGAACCTCTTCTTGGGGTGGGGTGGGGTGATCACCCTCCACCCCGCCGATTCATCTAAATGAACTGGAGGATCAATAATAGTCATTATTTGAATGTTTTCTTTGGGTTGTGCAGGTTGATGCTCAGACGATGCAATTCCTCCGCCGTTGTCGATGCTCAACATGCAGTTAACTTTTTCATGTTCCTTCTCCCTACCTGTGCTAACGCCAAGCCCAGCATCGTTGACCCGGTTCTGCTGGAAGCCTGATCGAAACAAGTTCCACAGACCCTCCAGAAAGACGCAAAGACTACACACAGTAAACTACATAATCATTCATCCCGATTGAGAATTGTGCGTCGAACGTAGTGTTGAGGCTGGTCTACTTGCATGCCTTTGGCCGGTGTCCGGGCACCTCAGGAATAGACATCAAGTCGCGGGTGGTCTTAGTATGTCTCAATTGAGGTTTTGTAGATGATGAGGCATTTACAGTATATGTTGTACCAGTTGTATGGACCGGAGCCTGAGCTCGTCAATCTTAGTCAAGGATGTGCTGTAAGCCAGGTGTATTTGGTGTTTTGGGACCAATGGCACTTGCGTACTGACTCATTAACATCTCTTCATTGATAGCTGCTGAGTGCCTTGCCAAGGTGATGCATTGCTCCCTAAATCACTCCAGAATTACGGCATCTCCGACCAAATCCCCTCTCCCCTTTCTTTCCATCTTTTCCTTTCCCTTTCAATTTCCATCGCCATGGATCCCCAACACCAAGCACCTCATCCTCACCCTGCGCTGCGCCAGGCTTCGAGTGCTGCTGCCCACGGCGCCCAGTGCGGCGCGACAGCTTCACGGGGCCCCACGGAATCAGCCCCACGGCATCAGCCCCTCGGCAGGAGGAGAGCAAGGTGACGGCGTGACGGCGTGATCTGCGTGAGAGAATGACAGTCATGGGCCGGTGAGGGTTGGAGGAAAGATGAGGAAAGCACATCATTCTTGGGTATTCTTGGGTCACAACAGCCGAGTTCAATGATGATTAGGTCCATGGCGAATTCGGTGTTGGGAATTGTGGCCTCGGAGCGTTTTGTTCCGACGTAGCTCGAGAAGAATCGTGGAATTTCCATGTGGAGTCGGAGGATGGGTGACAGGGACAGCGCAGAAGGAACGAAGGAGTTCCTTTTTAAGCATGAGACCCGAAAAGAGCTCCAGCCACTAAGTTTTCATGTGTACTCCATCTTGTGAGGTGGTTTCTGGGGTCTAATTTGCTCGTATACTCTTGGGAAACTCTCTAAGCCTCTGAGTCATCTAGAAGGGGCTGTGCCAGACTTTTTTGGTGAGAGCGGAGGAGCCACTGGCTGAGGGCCTGGGTTCATTTGATGCCAAAAGCATGTGAACACTTGTTGGGCTTCCATTGGCGCACATGAGTGTTCGCGTGCTTTGGTGAGTGGTGTGTCCCTGTTGGCTGTGAGCAGAAGTCGTTCGAAAGTGGGGCCTTAAAGATTTGCTTCCTCAAATCGAGATCCAGGCTCTAGGGGAAGAACGGAACATGAACAGGAACAAGAGCTGGCCACAGACAGACTGTGCAGGAACTGTACGTCTGATCTCACTTCTGGCAACTGATCCTTCGAGAAGATTTTCCGCACATGAGCGGCCAGGAGTATATTAAATAATATTATACATACTACCCAATTAGCACTTGCAGCATTCTATGGGATGTGATCGTGGCTGTATACCTTGCAGGTTGAGATCAACCCACCTTGCTCGGGTGCGAGTGTGAAGCCTCTCCCCCTGCCGTGCTTTCATCTCACCCCACACCGTGGGTCGCGGCTCCTCGCCCAACGGCGTAGTCGTGTCCTGCGGCGGCGCCATGGCGACTCCCAAGAGATTGCTCACGGAGCAGGAAGTGGAAAATGCAATCGAGGCCGGAAACTGGGGCAGGTGTACAGTGACAATGGAAGAGAAACAAGAGAGAGGAGCGAGCAAGCGGGAGAGAAAGATAGAACTGCAGTCCTTGCTCGAAATGTTCAGCATTCCATCCAAGATGCAGCATGCCAGTGAATAATGATGCCATAAGCAGTTGTTCAGACATGTACAGGGACGTCCAAGCTTGTCTGCAGGCAGTGCAGAAGCAGCAGCAGGAGGGGTCTTTGTCTGAAGTGGATTTGAACGTGGATATGGTTTCCTCCAAAATCCATGTGAGTCCAACGGATGAGCTCGTGGCCGCCAACGGCCTGACAGGCAGGCCGGCTCGTCCCAGAAACATCGGCCTTGACGGACCCGACAGAAAAGAGTTCTCCATTCTGAATGCTTAGCAATCGGGTAGCTGGCCATGCTTCCTTTTTGGCCATTGGGGCGGCTGGAGACCCTTCATTGTGGTGTTCAAGTGGTCCTCTCCTATTGTATTTTTAGTCATTTCGTGGGTAGTGGTTGAGATTCTTGTCTTGATGTGGGAGTTGGGCAGCTCTTTCAAGTGATCTTGTTGATGCACAGCCGACGAACGATGGCCAAAGCATCCGGGCAACCCTCACACAGCCTTACCGTGGCCGGTGGGCAAAGGACGTCCTGAGACGGACAGTCTGAGGGAATGCCGGCACACACATGATGGTGGGTCAAAACCTGGAGCTCTAAACTCTCCTATGGTCCTGCTGATCCCACCAGTGGGCCCCACATGGGAAATCGATCGAAACCCGCCAGTTAGGCAACAAATTGCGCCATGGCCCGCGCCAGCGAGGAGTCTCTTCAATGCATGGCTATTTTGAGGGAACAGTATTTGCGTTGGTCACTGGGCTGCATCCCCCATGCTTGTCACAGCCACTTGGGAACAGTCCTACACTGCCGTTTTTGTTGGGGCAGGTGTCAGTTTGGGTGTCCATAAGACCCACATGAAACGGAACTTTGGGAAAGTGCCAGGCTAAAAAAATTGAGATCCACCCAGCACACATGGCGCGAAGGTTGGAGATCGTACAATACACCTTCCTCAATCTCCTTGTATGGGCCCCATGGTGCTCGTATGTGCTCGTCCACACCCCAGGATGCAAAGCCTTTTTTAGAAGGCACCACGCTCTTGCGACCCAATTGACGATGCCGCAGCCAATAACACGTGTACGTGAATTCAGGGCGACACACACCAGTGACAACGCAGCAGGACGGTGGACTTCGGCGCCATGTGCTCCTGGGAATGTGACAAGACTGTGGCCCTTAACGTGTTAGACTTAGACCCGGATGTCCGGAGATGGCAGTTTGGTAAGACTAAGCCACTGAGAGAAGTGCAGTTCAATTCTTCTTACATTGTCATGCATTTAAGGTCAAAGATAGGCTTTCCCGCTTTTGGTCACATTTGGGCAGGTCCGGGCAAACACACACACACACACCAGATGATCAAATATAATTTACATAATGCACATATTTACAGTTTTACCTCACACGCACATGAAGATGATTTAACAATACACAAATTGAAACTAACATGGAAGTGGAAACCCCCGTGTTGGTAGTTGGTAGCGGAAAATAGTCTTCCCAGAGTCCATATTCCTATATTCCACTTCCATGTTAGTTCCAGGGAGTGGAAAACAAAGAACGGCAACATGTATATATATATATATGTATAATAATGTCAACGTGCAATGTGTATAATGTATAAGTTTTTACATGTATATATAAATATATATAATCTTTTAATATATATATATATGTATAAACAGATGTCGTATGTAGGTAGGGCACCTTCAAGTACCCTACCTGGTTGACATACACCGCCAGTGCCGTGAGATGGGCGATCTGGCGCCAGAAAGGCAAGAGTCGGTGGAGCTCCTCCTCAGCGAAATCAGGCGAGCGAAGACGCCCATCACGCCCATCCGGTTGGGGATGTTGTTGTGAATTGGTATGGACTGGAATGGGAAGCACCATTGGTATGGACACAAGATGCTGAGCTTTCTGGAAAGGTGACGACCCTTTGCAAGTCTCCATGCTGTTTTGGCACAGCTAGGATCAACGCGGCCAGAGTGGTGGTGCTGGCGGTTGGTGGTTGGTGATCGTTGATGTTGTCCTTAAACTGCACTCACAGCCAGAAAGTCACCAGGACCCGGTGTGCAATTTCGGTGTTTGTCTCACCACTGCTCGCAGGCCTGAATATCATGAGGTGGCAACTTGGCGCCAGAATAATGAGAAGCCTGCAAAATTTGCCAAAATACCACCAAAAAGGTTTGTTTACCATCATCCAGTTGACGTCCAGACAGTTTTTGGAGGTTTTGTCATCTTTGACACGTTTCGGGTCACCCTGCTAACTCAGCATGCTGTTTCGAACTATTGCAGTCAGTTGCTTACTTCTCAGTGTTCATTCCAAAAACATGGGGTCGGTCAGAGTTTGGTCACCAAAAAAAAAGAGCATGTCAACTTGACATGTTTTTCGCCTGAGGAGGACAACATTTGAATGACATCTTAGTCTTACGCCCTTCCAACTCCCTATCGTCAACAATCAGGTCATACTTGGTTCGAGGCTTGGAAACATTACTCTGGCCTCCCCAAGGTTGTCCAGAGTTTCGAGCTCCTCTGAACTAAATCATGTAGGTTTCCCAAAGCGTCACAAGCAAGCCAACGTGTCTAAGCCCACAGAGAGAAAGAGACCGGGACACATTGAGAGAGAGGGAGAGGGAGGGAGGGAGAGAGGGAGAGAGAGAGAGACCGCGCTAGTAAAGATAAAACAAAAACAAGTGAGTCTAGTATTAGCCGAGCATCTCCAGCATGTTGAAAGAAAAGAACTGCCCAACACATCCCAAAACACGCTTTTACGTCACCAAACAGATGTGTGCCCCACCTGCTGCGTCCACTCCCAACGTTGCTCACCTAAGGCCATGAAGCTCGACGAGGGCGATGGCGTCGTGTCGCACTCGGTGTGCCTGGGCTGCAGGTCGCGGGGTCAAGCCTCAAGGAAGCCGAGGGAGCACTTGCAACTGGGTGCCGAAGCAATGAAGCAAGGTGCCTTTTGTATACAGTTGTATGTGTGCCACAGTGTTTTGAGCAAGGCTCGCTCGTGACTGCTGTAGGTGGCCATAGCTTTTAGTTTGGAGATGTTAGGAACTACCCAAATCCTATGTGCTAAGCATTGTGTTACGTGGGGTGCACATCTCTTAGGCTTTGTGACCTGCGGTGGGTTTGGGGAGGGTTTGGTGTGTGCCAGCAAACTGCATTGTGCAGAGATCTCAAGGGTTCTCAATGGCTGTAGATTTTTGCCAGTGAGCACCTTGTATATGTTTGTAATCTTCTCAGTCGTTGACATCAGACAGGCAACTCCCAACACAGGCAGGTTCGAGACAGGTACGGTTTTTTTGGAGGCCTTTCCCCGAGAAGGAGATCGAGCGGCAACACGGCACGGCCACCGAAGAGATGCCTGTGATCTCGCAGGCGGGTCAACGACACTAGGATTTTCAGATGATGGTCACTTTGACCATCACTGAACGGTTGGAACGCTTGGGACTTGGACCCAGACGTTGCCATGACAGGCACAGATGGCGCACGTGTCGCGCACGCGTCTTTTCCGCGGGGGTTCATTTTTGGTCGTATGACACAAAGGTGCATCAGTATGCATGTGTTCATGTGCTGTACGGATTCGTGTGTTGTGGCTGGATGGGTCTTCGACATAGTCCGGTGGGGGCAGGAAGCACACATGGCGATTGACGAGACGATGATGGAGGCTTTCCAGTTCCAAGAGAGCCACAAATGCATTTGCTTCGGTGGTGTGTGGGCGGCATGGCCTTGGCTTTCATTGCTTTACGGTCACGTGTGTGTTGTTTTGAGCGAACGAGGGGCCAATCTCTTTTATGGTGACATATTCCAGCAAAGCATTCTCTGGCCCAGTGGGGCTCCAAGCACATCCTCAGAAGGTAGT